TTATTAATATGATCAACGTCGTCGCATCGCAGTAGTTGTGTAACTTTTTATGCAAATTGTATGAATGACGAGTACTGCCGGTTTACTGTTTACCCTCACCTGGTGTCAATACTTATTTTCAGTGGTCCATTCATATTATTTTCACGTCTATTTTGCTCTTTGTGCCAAAAGGAATATGTTACGGTTGATAACCTAGACTGGTTATTCTCTTGCATTGACACTTTATATAAGCAACGAAGCTCTCACATGTATTGGGTACGCAGATACAGTATTGAAATGCAACCCGGGGTGGTTAAAAATGTATTTTTTTTGTGGGTATTTCTACTATCTGGAAAAACCACCAAGATAACCCTCAAATGTTCTGATGAAGGGAGGACAGCTCGTGATAGGCGTGATTAAAGATAATTCATGAATTATGTTAAAAATCGATTATTCGCGATGCAAAATTATGCATGCTTCCCTTTTACGTTTAGCACGTGAATCTATTTGGATACCATTTGGCACGATAATCTTCTAGAATTACAGATCAAGGAGTCAGACCATTTTGTCTTTTAACAAACCAATCATGATTTCGACATGGCATTCGTTTACTTCCGTTTCAAAACATAAAATAAAAATAAGATTCTTTTCTTATAAATGTTGTAACCTTACCAATATCATCAGTGTTAATCCGCAAAACATAAACAGGAGGATATGTCATATGTTATTACTTAACAGTAAGAATCTAAACAACAGTGTGAGCTCCGTGTGTGACAAAACCTAATCATCAGTCCAAACAAAACGTCACAATCTTTTCTGGAGTCATATCACCAAGATCAACAAACAAAGCTACAACGGTTTTTAACTATTTCCCTACTGACACCGATAACCATAGCCGCGTTTTTTCCTGAGCCTCATCACCTTCCTATCCCAGTGACCCTGGTGCGGCACGCTACTCGCATCGGGTTGGTAACATGGAGCTGTAAAAAGCCAATTAACATTTAATATAACTGATATCATTAATTCATCTGTATAATGACCTGGGACTGTGGCACGCAAAGATCTCACTGGCAGCCATGGATACCTCCCCGAGCTCCAGACAGCGCAGAGGCTAGCTTTACAACTTACATCCAAGAGAAATGCGGGTCCTATTTAAAATTTGAAGATGTTGTTGAAGTATTCCTATCGGTGAAGAGGCTGTGTGGAGTTTTCTTTGATCGTCCATGGAATGGATACATTAACTTGTTTTGAAACAATCTTGCATAAGAGAACAGACTCAATTAAGAACGGACGTAAGTCCATTAGTCGAAATCAATGTTATACTGTCATAGTTAGTTTGCGACGGTTATCCGACTAAAAGCATATAATGCTCATGTTTGGTTTATCCGGTCTGGCAAAGAAAATATCTTCACGAATAAATATCTGTTTAGTGAAATGAGATTGGTGTAAGAATGTAGCATATTTTGTTGACCCCCACTTTTATGTATAATTTGTAACACTTTGTAACATTCTTCCATGAACACACACCGCCACACATCACCCCCACATCACACATCCATTCACCATAATAAGTAACCAGAGACCCCTAAATAATGTTCTAATTTATCATTTTAAATGTTTCCACGCCGCCCCTATTTGTGACCCCAATCCCCCTCCCCATCCCCACCCCAACACACACACACACAATTAAAGGACAAAAATAGAAGGATTGATTGAGTAATTCACACAGTAACTGTCAGTGTTCTACGTGTACATCGTTTCTACATATTGTGTCTAATACAACAGTAACGGCATTTTAAAATCAATGCAAGAATGTGTCACATGGAAAAGAACAATGTTCCTTCGCTCAAGGTTGAGTGGTAAGCGCGTGCGCAGTATGGTCAGGTACCCAAGGGCTACATTTAAACCCACCTGGGTAAACATATGTAAGTACAACCCCTGCATTAACAAGTCAACGTCATTCGGAAGCGGTTTGGCATGTTACGACAGCATATAGCGACCATTAACCGCCCCTAATGTTATACTAGTGCTTACCCCGGATTAGTACAGTAATTAAAGTGACCAAAAAGGAGAGAAATTGGGTCCAAATAATTGAGTAGGTACGTCTGATGTTTTTAAATCACGATATGGTTTGTACCTAGCTAGGTAGTTAGCAGAGGTTATCTTAACCCTGCTACTTCTCTATGTTAAATTGAAATTTGCATCCTAATTCAGCTATTACTTTAAACTTTTGTTTTAATCGTGAGTGACACAGGTGTCTGTCTGTGTGGTACGCAAAGTGAAGTATGAATTGGGTGTCATTTGAGCAAAATAAAAGAAATAACCCGTGAAGTATAGGTCTTCAGCGACCCATGCTTGCCGTTAAAGGCGACTAAAGGGATCTGGTGGTCAGGCTCTGTGACGTGGTTGATGCATGTCATCGAATGCATATTGGGGTAAAATGGATATTTTCATTCAAACTGTAGTACAACGCTTAGTCAAGGTTCTAAAAGGTCCCCAGAAGAGTCAAATCGGTAATCACACTTACACTTGGCAATATTGTGTACCCAATGAAATGTTATGGTTTATAAAAAGAAATATATGTGGTACGCTCAAAGTCGCATTCGTAGTTCTTGAAGTGCCTTTAAATTGAGTTTGAAATGACGTTTCAGGTTTTAGCGTGCATTCAATTTTTAATGCAGTGTAGCTTATCTTTGAATTTATTCGTTTATGAGTGAGTGAGTGAGTTAATGCTTTACGTCAAATCGGCAATATTTCAGCCATATCGTGACGATATTCGGTTATGAAAGTAACCACTGTTAAATTCATTATGTTAAGAACAAATGAGGATTTCTGTATAAATAGGACCATTTGTAGTCAGCCAAATTTCTTCTGTTAAGAGTTTGACCTGATGTGACATTTGAAGTTTTGACCGTACGTTTTAAGTTTCTTATCGTGCATTCGGAATTCCTGTTTCGTGGTAGATATGTACTTTGTTGGTTGAGAGGAAGATAATTTCACAATTTTTGTCATTAGCAATATTGCAATACCTCTCAAAATTGTTTAGAAACCATACATAGCCGTTGTTAACATCTTGACATCCATCAAAAGTTTTATATTGTTTATGTATAGTACAATGTGGGATTAATGAATATAAACAGTATGCAAATGTACTTCAAAATGAGACTTTGATATGTTGCCATGTTTGCTTTTGAAGCCGTATTAAGTCAGTACTATTAATGTCAAGGGGCGGTCGGGTAGCCTAGTGGTTAAAGCGTTCGCTGGTCACGCCGAAGACCCGGGTTCGATTCCCGACATTAGTACAATGTGTGAAGCCCATTGCTGGTGTCCCCCGCCTTGATATTGCTGGAATATTGCTAAAAGCGGCGTAAAACCATACTCACTCACTCACTCACTATTGATGTCAAAACCTATGAAAGTGGTTAGAAATTGAAACATTCAATATGTCATAATCTCTGATAATTTCATCTGATTGTTGTAATTCTGTAATTCCTGTATACAGTAATCAAGTAATGTAACTGTAACTGCATTTTGACTTGTACCATAATCTCGCCGTGTTGTCTCAGATGAACATGTTTTTGCACCTGGTATCATCACTAATGGATAGTGATTCAGATGGTTTCTCGCGTTTATTTACATAACGCTTGTCTTTACCTAACTGGATACATTTCGAAAAATTATAATTCTCTTTAAGAATACATATTGTCGCATGGTATCACATTTGCGTTGTAACTTTACTGTGTATCACTATATTTAATATAAATATATTCATGAAGTCATTTCGCTACATGAGCGAACTTGTGATCTTGCTGCCGTTGTTTGATTCAGTTTCTTTAATTTTTATTTCAGCTTTAACTAATTGTTCGATGTTAAAAACCTCCTCTGTTTTGAATTTTCCGATATATCCCATTCCATGTAAAATCAGTGTATTGGCTGAAATATCTTGACACTCAAATATCTCTTTGTCCAGAAGGGAGTCCTTCATCAAGCATTCCTGTCAAATTTGCAGTATTGTTACAAACAGTCTTTACCTTATCATGAGTACCCAAACGTTATATCCTTGGTGACCACCATGACGCCACCTCAATTATTGTGAGATGTAATCATCACATGGTGTTGCGTAGGTTTTTCTGTTTGACAATTTGAAAGGCATATTATTTGGTCAGGATTTAACTAGTATCGGGAAAATCAAATCCATTCTTTCTGTAGAAATTTAAAACGTCCTTTGTTAGATAATAATCAGTCTCCAATATCTATATTCCATGGACGAAGAGGACATGAGAATAATGAATAGAAAATTAAAAATCAGTGATGACACCAGGTGTTCACAAAAATATAAGCATGTCCTGCTCTGCCGATTGGCTCTACCCGCCACTCACAGAATTTTCATTAAAAATGTAAGTGTCAGTGCGAAAGGATTTGTGAAAACTCCATGTACAGGTCATAACAAAGACAGCACCGCTCATCATGTAGAAGAGCGACACGTCGTATTTGGAAAATTCCATTGCATGTCTCGCATATTGTTTTAAAGATAACTTAACCAGGCCTTTGATTCAAACGATAAGTCTCCATTGGGATTGCGGATTCGATAAGGTCCCAAGCAACCTATGTTGGTCGTAAGAGGTGCCCAAAGGGATATAGTGGCCAGGCTCGGTGATTGGTTAATGGCCCGTCATCGTTCACCGTCGGCGTGGACTGTTGTTCACAATATTTATCATTGCAGTGTGATGCGTTAAACTACAAACAATATCAAAGTGTGTCTTTCCGTGGAATTTAAATAAATGTATGTTCTTTAAAGTACCTAAGCAATTGAGAAATTTAGACGCCACAAGTTGGCGTATCTGAAGCATCCTCTATATCTCCAGGGCTCGCATTTCCGTAAACCTACACCCATCCCTGGATCCATTGCCGTGGTTCTCGTGAACTTTGATTTCAGTTTATTATTAATAAAAAATCCTATTCGTAGCTAGCATGTAATAGTTTGAAATGTACAATTGATACAAAACACATGACTATTCAAAGTATACGAATGAACTTTATTAGTTGAGGGATGGCGTGCATACAAGATGACAGACTTAACAGGGTCGAATAGAAACACACAACACAGGATTAAACCATGTATGGCAATACATCTGATACCGGACGGAGCACACGTAATTCAAAGTCCTTGGACGGAATTGTAAGGGCATTGCGAATCTCTCCGATAAAACATAGGTTATAGACATTCCTCAGCAAAATAGTATAACACATAATACATAGCAAATTGGTCGTGAGATCACAGACATATACTGGACGGGAATGCAAAATAATTACATATATGTGACAACTGATAAATTACGTTTATGATGATACAAGTTAACATGGATGACTTTTTTCAAGATGTCATTGCAAAGCTGATAGGTTTTACAACAAACTCAAACAAACAAAGACATCTTTTAAAAATTGAAAGGTAAGACATCTGCTTGACAAGGCAACATGGCGGAGGAAAAAGAACTAAAACCAAAAGCTTTTTATGATGGTTTGAAGGTTTAAACAGATAGGAGGTCTGGAATTCTAGTTTGCATGATTGTGATTGTTAGGTAGATTTTGTTTTAAACAGAATTACCTTAGATATATCGATCTCTTACTTTAAAATATAAGGAAAGTATTATAATTCATAAGAAACTGAATCATCCTTGATATAGTTGATACCGAGAAATAAATGTTGGATTGAAATAAGGTAAGCTGTACATACTTATCTTAAAGAGGCAATGGAAAAAAGAAACCTAACGTGTATTCGAATAAAAATTGATAATTATTATAATGGGATCATTTTGGCACTTAAGTAGGATTTCATAGTTAAGAAAGTCGCCATGTGTATTTCTTGAAAATGTATATATCTGACCTATTTCATATCGTATATTTGTCTATTGACACAAGAGTGTCTAATTTATCACAAATAGGTACGCGCGAAATGTTGTCAAGCACAAACGTCAGCTTGCCTTCGAATAATATCGCAACAGACATGGTAATAAAAGATTCCCTATAAATTATAAACTCTTCTATCACTAGGATATTTCACTTTCTTAACAATAAAAGTGACAAACCCTTTTCCATATTCATAAGAATACGAGTTCGACCATATCATGAGCATGTGTTTATGAATCACTATCAAATAATGATGGCACCAGGTGTTCGCGAAAAGGTGAGCGTATCCTGTCCCATCTGTGGCACCCGTTACAAACACATGCAAAGTTAAGTCAATTGTTAATGGTACAAGTCAAAATAAGGACATTGGACATAATTTTTGTCAGAGATGCGTCAAATTTGGGAATGTCCTCCAAATGGCTTCCATAACTGTTTTAGGAAATATTTATTGAGGCCTTAAATGTTTAACCTACATCAAACAACTTCCGAGTAAGACTCGTATGGCGATCTTTGAAGTCTTGGCAGAAAGAGCCTACTCGAATTTACCTCCAAAGTTGAAAAATTTAGATACCAAAGGCTGGAGTTGCAAGAATATTGCTCGACACAAAGGTAAAGTTGACTATTTGAAAGTTGAAGTCATCCGTTTTGTCTTGTGGAAAGTGTTTTGTCACTCTGAATCTTCCAGCACAGATCTAAATATGAAACAGATGAGGTGGTCTCACTGTCCTCCTTTATTTCAGGTGGGTAAATCAGTGGAAGGGAATTGGTTCTATGATGGTTATAACGATATCAGATCATCGATATACCTGAAGCTTAACCTAAACTTCCTTTTGTCTTTGCCAAACCGAGCAGAAATTGCGATTCGTATGCATAAAGAAACAGACCCGCAAGAAGAGGAGTACAATTACTGCCAATGGGGATGCCTGTATCTCGGTTTGCAATTTGTGTGGTATAACATGTAAAACCCTGCCATCCTACAGTTCAGTCATATATTTTTTTATTTTTTTCTGTAGTTAGTATTATTTCTCCTTTCTTTGGTAAATATCCTTGCATGAAAGAACCTCCGAGCCAGTTCTCTTTGCATAAAAGTTAATCAGAGTTGATACCTGTATATTTGTTTCTGTCATACATTAGGAATCCCTAATTTAATCTGGCATTTTATCTATCTTATCCAAAAGTTGGGCCACATTGAAACATACCCGATATATATTTATTAACATAAAAGGTTATCATTGTACCCAAATAAGCTCTGACCTAACACGTCTTGATTGAAGTGTAATGAGTGAGTGAGTTTGGTATCCCCAGTTGGACACTAAAATGAGTTTCACACATTGTACCAATGTAATAAATCAAACCGGCGTTTAGGCGTGTCGAGAGAACGCTTTACCCACTAAGCCAACCCACACCACTTCTGAAGCATTCTATAGCTGAGTTGGGGAGTAGGTAAGGTTCTGAAATTATGAATAATATTAAATATAGTGTACCAGCCGCTCTGTTATAAATAATACATATCTTACACATACTATGCAATGGAATACACGTGTAACATTGTATTCATTGTCTCTGTTGTGCGGAACACATAACAATGAATGTACATATATCGTCACACCATCCTTATGTACAAATACCTGGATCTATCACAGCCTTGGTATGAGCATAGAAACGCGAGTTTCTCATGTTTGACAATCTTCTACATTGAGGTAAACAATATATAACAGAAGCACTTTCTCGAAAACGTTTGATTTTAACACACAGATTAAATTATTTTTATACATTCGCCACATCCTCAACCGTCTCTTAAAGCCATATATACACATGTACATATTTGAGCAAACAGTTGTGTCCTTAGGTAGGTTAAACATTGCAAGTATTGAAGTCACGCATTCACCTGCGTTAACTCTCGCTCAAAGTACAAATTGTTGTCCGTCATCCTTTTCTTTAGCTTATGACGCTTGTTGACTTTGACAATACCGTCTTTTCCTTTAGATACATGGTTCTCTTCCTTGACTTTGGTAATGAATCGTTCGTCACTCATCCCTGCTCCCTCTGCGTCGGAGAAGTATCCGTGCGCATCAATGGCTTCCATCTTGGTTTTCATTTGTTCGTAATTCTCGGAACCCCCCGTCCCATCAACAACATTGTTCTCGGAGTTAATACTGACATCGGTGTTCTGACGCGAACCTTGTTTCTTCTTCTTTTTCTTTTTGCCTTTGAGAGACAATCTGGATTCCGAATTCCTAATCGGAAGTAAAAGTGCACTTTGGGTGTTTGACCTTTGACTGTCAAGGACGTTTTCAGCTCGTGGGGTGGATATGTCCTTTGTGATTTCCCGATTGAGGGGGAGAGATACCGACGTGTCTCGTCTTGTGTGCGGACTGATATCTCGGTAGAACTTTGTCGGACTTCTTTGAGTGGCCAGACTCCGGACAGTGATCTGGCTTGTTCCACTACACATTGAATTCCGATCTTTGATGTTCGGTAACTTCAAATCTCCAGAATCCCTTTTCGAAATTTGAGAAACTGGGTATGAACAAGCTTTGTCAACCGGAGTCGGTGTCTCAGTATCTCCGTCACGATCGTACCAGAATCCAAGGTTGGAGGGACAGCTCGGAGAGCGGCACAGATTGGATCTCTGGTCCTCTCTCCGGGTAGGAGACATCCCATTGGACAGACTGGAAACACTATTGGACTTGGCCTTCCCGGAGATGGCGGGTAGCTTGACTGGACTACTCGACACAGATGAAGCAGCACTGGGCGGAACTCGGGCTATGGCTCCTCTTCTGCATTCAACGACTGAGTCGGAGTCAGAGCAGGAGCCTCGTTGTGAGATTCGTGGCAGTAAGCATTCGTCCTTAGATCCGGGCATGCAAGCTGGTCTTTGGGAGGCTTCGGTGAGAGCAGGCATGGTCAACTTGGGTCTGTGGACGGACAGACGGATGGACATAGGAGACTGTGCTCTAGGGCTCGATCTCCCCTCTAAGATGTTAGCCTTGAATGGACATCATCACAGGCATCAACGGAGGTCAAAATCTGTGGAAAAAAGACATCGAAATTAAATTTAGAAATATGGTTCTGATGGATTGTTCAATGTGTTTAATATTCACAGGACTAATTACGAAAGTAGTCTCACTACCACCTTGCATGGGATCATGAAAAACGCAGACATTGAAAACGTAAATATATAAATATAAAACGCCAAAGTCAGAGAATAAACAGTCTCGATAATCCGCCGAAACAGATTCCATTGGCCTTGTGGCAAACTTGCGGTGAGATAAATATGAATGGATCACATAAGTAGGGTTCATATTTGTATACCTTACACCATCAAGTGTAAACAGAAGTACCAATGTATAATAAATACAATAGTATTAACAGTTTGACCCATACGAATGACTGGAATATTAGTAGTCAGTGAACAAGCCATGGTACAATAATGTACAAGAGTACCTTAGAAACAAATCCAAACGCCTTTACAGCATGATATAAACCTGAAAAAATAATCTGTATATCCAATGCAACTGAAAGAAAAGACTACAAATCTCTTGAAAGCTTCCTATAACAAATCAAACTACCTTGTCACTTTACCATAGATTTGAATGGATAACCTATGTGTACCCACTTGTCTCCCTTCCAGTGTAGCATGGAGCATTCGTGATATCCTTATAACGAGTTCATACATGGCCACATGAGAAAGTGGCCTGCATGTGCTATTGAGTATAATCATAAATTAACTATGTGCAGCCGGGAACAATTGAGGCTCGCTTCAAAGCAAGTGGCTGTGGGATTAAGAGAATGTAACCAGCAGGGCTATATAATCCATGTTTCTACGTAGGTCTCCCTGGATTAACCCTATAATGCAGATTTACAGAATTCTGTGGCCTTAATCGCGGATTAATACAGCGATTTCTACCTACGTTCGACATTGCTGTGACCTCGACAAATTCACACACTGCACAACGGGTTTAACATGTTGCTATAATCACATAAAGTACAATACTCAACTGTGATTGATATATTCCTATCATGTAATGTTAACACCGTGTATCTCAGTGTCTCTTTTACAAGCAGGTAGTACACTAAATGTTTGAAAGGCGAATCGTACCTATTTATTGTCGACATACATTCATATGGGTACCGTTATATGATTATATAAGTATGTTTGTTCTGTAGTGAATGAATACATGTTTATATCAGTTTACACAATATAAAATGATACACGCATTTTCTAAGAGTGGTATAAGCGGGGATTGAACAAACTAATTTCTACTCAAAACTGTAATCGATGATAATTATTTTCTACTCATAAAACGCTCAAAACGCTTGGGTTAACTCATTAGTGTGTATTTAAACAACAGTCTCAGTTCCCTGGAGTGAGTGAGTGAGTGAGTGAGTGAGTGAGTGAGTTGGGTTTAACGCCGCTTTTAACAGTTTTCCAGTTATACCACGGCGTGTCAGCTTAATGTGGGAGGAACGCCCGAAGTGATGCAGGTCTCAGACGTTTACCCCCTCGGTGAAACCCACGAGCACGGGTACGGTGCTGACAAACCTAGAAACATAATCGGGGCGAACCGGGATTCGAACCCACAATCATAGGTTTCTGGTGTGCCCAAGGGAGGCAACTCTGCAGTTCCATGGATTTTTCCTGGGTATCTTGTCTATTGATTACGAGGTGTTTTGTTTTCACATTAGCCTCTCAACCTACCTGGTACCCATTCACTGCTAATTCAAAATATACACGAATGTTGGAACGAATGAACGCTAGCAGGGCAGGTCCAAATCACATGCACTATCAGCTGACCTTAATCAAAAGTAGTTGCGCATGAAACTTATTATGTAATATTTACATATTAATAAAATCTATTATTGTAACGATATACCAATTAGAGAGTTTGAATATTGAAATGCCATAAGAAATAACAATCAGATTGAAGGTATTAAACATACATATACCATCATTTATATAAACTTCACACCAATATTTTGAATGAGTTTGATGTACATTACTACCGATAAGGTTATCAAAAGAAATGAACGGAAATAATCGGATTGTTAAACAGTCAAATGCATGTAAAGGGAGTCCTTCGGTCCATTTAAAGATAACGGGAAAAGCGGGTCTCGTTCTAAATGAAGAGATTAAAGCATAAATCTGTAGTGTCAACAAGTACCATGCAGACCAAATATTTAGACAACAATTATGACTGACAATGTCAATAGTTTATACACGAGCTTTAGCCTTGATCAAACATTGCATCTATCATTGGAAGCATCCTATATAGCGTTGATAGGATCTCGAGAGAGTATTATGTCATAAGAGACGACCAGTATAGACATCTGGCCGGCCAAGGTGTTGGTGAGGTCAGGGCCTTGACGGTGAAATTAACACATGTACATATCACGAAGGCCACGTTGTGTCGGTACATAACTACATGTGTAAACGTGGACAACAATGTTATTAGGTAGATTAACAGCGTTTGTTGAGGCTTATACTAAATTACAAATATATCACGTCGTTTAGAATATCAGGGTTGATGTTTTGGCTGAAGAATTTCCGATACAGGTAAAATAATAGAGAAATATATAAGGTTATTAGTGGTGGTGGGTACCCGGTAGGGGTGGGTGGGTGGGCGCTAAAGATTATTTCAAGCGTTCACGTGTTGCGCAGAACACACAGGTTTGACTCCCAAAATGGATTATACTACTACTATACATTTCATAGATAATGTTCAACAGTTATAAGTATATGGATAATTGGATAAATGAAATCACCAAATTCACAAATAGGAAATAAACGAAAACTGACAGTCGATACATAATACCCTTGCATAAAAAGTCGTTAAACAGTCAGAAAAAAATCCGCTTTAAACGGATGTATTAGCCTAGAACAAGAAGTACGTGTAATCTAATTCTAACCATACGACAGCCCCGATGTTTCTATAAAAGAAATCCATCTATGATTCAGCATCACACACAAAACAGACCTTACCTCCACCACAGTCATGTCAGACACAACTAAACTGGACTGAAGGAGCTGCTGTTGAATGAGACTCTGTTCTTGGGGCGTATCGTTGATACAACCATGTCAGTGAATCGCCATGGTTGTCCTCTTATGTCAATAAGAACAGGTGATAATGATTACTAGTTTTGTTATGAAATGAACATGCCCACGTTCTGCTATGTTATCTTAACATGTCAGACAAAGACTCGTGTCCATTTCAATAAGGAGTTATGCCCGTACATACACGAAGCACCACCCCACGGACAGTTAGCCGTCACTTGCTTTAACATAGACACATGCACCCACACACAACCGGTCAACTATTAGCAGCTGGGTGAGGTGTATTCACCGTCTTATTTTAGGTTTTAAGGCTACGGTGATCTACATCTATCCGTAAGTGTCCCTGCAGTAACCTCGTGTGAATGCCATGTCCGTTCTCTACCCAGACGCCGTGACCTTAAATTATTAAAACGCAATGTATGGATAGACGCTTCATCTTGACATTCAATTAATACAAGGAGTATAATATTGAATGTAGAACTCTATCACGTGTTTGCATGTCAGTCAAGGAGAAATGCCCATATTGTACCCAGAGTCTTACCTGTGATGACCTACAGCCTCAGTTTAAACAGAAACGTGTATGGCTGAAAAACAGAATGAGCTATTGGCTTATTTTTTTAATATATATTTGTTTAGATTTAGAAGCGCCCACTGTTATTATTAAATTAAATTTGTAAAAAAGTTTACGTCATTCGTAAAAATCTACTCATGCAATTTTTAAATCCAGTAACAGTCGGTTTTTGGGTAGCTGACATATCACCATATAAGTAATAATGCGTCGCAATTTGTTCCGGTGCGAGTAATTTTACTAATGTGGGGAATCTGACCCTGGCCTTCGGCTGACGAGCGAACGCTTCAACAACTGCCACCAGGAGATGAATATTATGAACAAGGGTATGATATTAGATAATACAATAAACACCTTTTATTAATGATGCATATAAAGTGTGGCTATAGCCACAGTAGTTTTAATTTGTCGACATCTGATTTATACCGGGTTTCCCACTGTTCGTATATCTACTCAGTAATCAATTTATCTAAATTGCTGTTTCTCAATTTTAATGAAATATAAATTGTCAGTGTAAGAGAATAACCAGTCCAGACTATCTCCCGAAACAGATTCCATTTAGTGTAGAGGGCGAGTAGCTGTGAAAATTATATGAATGGACCCCTGAAAATCAGTGATGACACCAGGTGTTCGCGGAAAGGGTAAGCATGTCCTGCCCTACCGGCAGTACCCGCCATTCACACAATAACAATTACAATTTCGGTCAGTGTCAGTGATAACTTCATGCACCATCAACAGTTAGCGTCAGTGACAACTTCATACACGATCTACAGTCGGCGTCAGTGACAACTTCATACACCATCTACAGATGACATCAGGGACGACACCATACTTCATCTACAATATACGCGAGGATGATGAGCTGGGGGTCAGTGGGAGCCTATGTCACACAAACACTTGATATTGTCTTTCATTGTCATATGGACTTGAAGTTAACCGTTATTGAAATATAGAAAGGAAAAAAACTAAATTAAAATGTGTATAATATATAACTGTTACATTACCAAATATTGAACCACTGAATTGAAATTTGTTTAGGATGGATATTTCTCTCCAAATAGGTACAAGACACCACAGATGTACTTTAATGATATATAATTATGTTGTGATAATAAAATATTTACGTAAAAGCAACATGTACCGTCCATCTAAAGCTTGTAGTCTCAGCCGTTGCTAACGACGCATAGCGTTGCATAACACTTTGAATAATTAACTATACAGACATAATAATAACACTGACCGGTGTCTATTACGAACGAAGAACCATCAACTGAAAAAAACACAACCAGTATGTTATACTCACATCAAGAAACGCGATCCATGATTTATATCCAAGAAAACACACAAACATCAGGAATCACAAAGTAAAACTAGTTGGACCCATTTGTGACATGACCATTCAGTGCC